TAAACATCAACGTTGCAGACAGAGTCAGTGGTAGAGTCACGCTGCCGTTAGCCAGTCCGAGGCGAAATATCTAAATACCAGGAAATGGGAATCCAAATCTTGTCGTCCGAAGCTCAACTCTGATGTGGCCCACTTCAAGTTCCTGAAACTGGTGCACCAGAGTTTTGTTTGCCCAGAGTAAGACTTACAAGGCATTCATTCCATATTTATGATGCATCAAATATTCAAATATATTCTGAAGAAAACAAAGTCTTACGTGGACCTCTTGTGGTCTGCTTCCACAAACTGAGTAGGGATGATTGTGATTGGTGGGTTTCTGCATGTGGTGTGTGTCAGGCCCACAAATCGTCTAAAGGTGACCTGTGCAAAATTATTATCATGATATTTTTGGACTGATGAATATCACATGGAACATTGTTTTAGATCGCCCAACCTTAGACCGTATTCTATACATCATAATCAGTGATTAATTTTTTAATGGAAATTAACCATCCAGCATTTTACGGTGCCATTTATAACGGTTCCCAAAATTACCATTTTATTTTATTCTCCTTCTTTGAATCATCAACTGAAAGCTTTTTCCTGAGACGTTACAGTTTTATGTTCTGCTAGGATAAAAGTGAACCAGCAGGTGCAACAGGAATAGCACAAAACCAACCCATTAAGGCTCTCCTGTAACAACTTTGCTCTAATGTCAGTGTCGGCCCTTCCAATGCACCAAAACCAAAACATTCATCCCAAACATCACTCCCTTTTGTTCTTTTGTTTTATCTGATGCCTAAAGGCATGGGCTGCCTGTTTGTTACCCATGGCACCCTCCCCCCAACTCAGCACCCCCCTGGCTAAAGTTTGGCAAGCTCTGCCTGCCTGGTGTGGCTTATTGTAGGTGAAGTGAAGCATATCAGCATCTCCTGGAGGGAGCACAAAGCTGTTGTGCACCTGACCTTTATCGTTTTCTTTCTGCTTCTTCCTGATGAGCTAACTAACAAGGATTGGGGTGGTGGAGGGGGTTATTTAGTGTACCCTGGAGTGAAAACCCAAGCAGACATGCACTCAGACATTGCTGTCATCTTTATTTAGCCTTCTTCTGTCAGTCTGAGCAAACAGAGGTCAGCGTTGTGACGCATACACGCCAGCGTGTACACACATGTAAACACTCCTCAAGCCTCTGTCCAGACCCATCGGGGCCAGACGGACTCTTCCTGCTGACTCAGGACGCATCACTTACTCTGGGATGAACTAATTCAAGTGAAACTAGCTCTAATGCTTTAAAGGATGTAACAGTAAAAAGTCGTAACAATTCAGATTAATAGCATTTTTTTGGAGTTCTAAAGGAAATGTCAACTGCTCAACATGTTTCTCTAAGATTGTAACCTTTCAAATGCTTTACAATTGGAATTAGTTGAGTTGTGTGTGTTTTAGGAAAAGAAAATTCAAATACACGCATTCTTTTGATTTATTGTGCTGGTTTATATCTGTCTGACTGAACGAAGGGGCCGTAGGTGCTCTTCTAATAACAAGAACATGAATGCTTCTGTGAAGTCAGACAGGCAGAGTAAATTACCTTTATGCCTTTTATAGCTCCAGTGACCTAAATTAACTGAAATTGCTAGTCAGCCGTACTGGCGGCATGCCTCTTAAAGGGATGCCAGTGGTGATTGGTCCAGTCCAGGACACCACCTTTTATTATACAAACTAAATATGTGACACTTAACATAAACAACACCAAGTTATTATCCAAAGAAGCCAAACAAGAAACCGGTAATTTTACCTTTAAGAGTACTCCAAACCAAGCAAACTAAGCTTAGTTTGAATTGAGACTTTTCAGGATGAAAAAATTATGGCTAGAAAAATGATAAATGACTTAACCCTAACCCATGATGCAGGTTCAAACACCTTGTTGATCCGAGATAGAATGGATGGCTGCAGTCCTTCAGATTTCACCGGTCAACCATGAAGTTTCCATAACAAATTTTTTCCAATTTAACAGATTTGTAAACACGTCCCTGATTTAATGGGTGGTTAGCTGCACATTGATGCAAAAATGAAACGAGGCATCATCATTTTCCTTTTAAAGCTGCAATAGCAAATCTACAAAACAAGCTAGCTTTTAAACATAAGCACGGCCCCAGAACTCTCACCCCTGGGCCACACACCCCTGATGTGAACGTGCATTGTCACAGTAAACGAGATTGTGCCAAACACCAGCCGCAGTTTTCTAGAGTCAGAACGTATTTTGTTTTCGTTGACTTCAGATGGTGTTTTTCTTTTTGGGACTCGGGTAGTTTGTCCTAAAGTTGAAGTGGTAGCAGCTGTCTCCTCTGATATTATTGAGCGGAGAACCTCTCACACCAGTGGTGTTCTGTCACTAAATGTGCAAGTCCAAATGGAGGACCCAGGTACATCCGAAAGTGGTTTTGTTTCGAGAGACAGACGACCAGATGGCCGATCTTTGGTTTCGGTCTGAGGTGTTTTATTGGCTGAGGTTTATAGGCAAATGTGAAAGAACCCATCCATCCATTTTCTGAACCCGCTTGTCCACGTAGGGTCGCTTGGGGGGGGGGGCTGTCTCCAGCGGTCAATGGGCAATCAGGCAGGGTACACCATGGACATAGAGCCAATCCATCGCAGGGCAACACAGAGACACACAGGGCAAACTCACACCTACGGACAATTTAAATAGACCAATTAACCTAACAGTCATGTTTTTGGACTGTGAGAGGAAGCCGGAGTACCCGGAGAGAAGCCACGCATGCACAGGGAGAACACGCAAACTCCAGAAAGATCCCAGGCCGGGAAGCGAACCCAGGACCTTCTTGCTGCAAGGCAACAGCTCTAACCACTGAGCAGCCAGCCAGTGTGAAAGAACCATTTCAATATATGTATATTTTTTTATTCTAAACAATATATTTATAGCTATACTATCTTAGAATGTTGTTAAGACTCTTGAACAAATGTTTTAAGCTAACTTGTTTTGTAGATTTGACGTTGTAGCTTTAAGGCATTTTCTGCCATATTGATATCTTCTTATGGATTTCAAAGTACCGTAAAGTCTATAAAGTACCACGTGGTTGCACTACAAATCTTTTAGAGTAAAGAAAGACCTTTATCATTTAACCTCGCCATCAGTCTTGGCGACTTTAACAGTGGTCCATTTGTGTTGGTTGCAGCAGTGTCATGTGGCGGCAGCAACTCCAGTCTGTAAAAAGGCATTAATCAAGCACTGTCTGCCTTTAATCAGCCTTACCCATCTCTGAAAAAGCAGCCTCAGTGTGAGATAGAACTCCCCCTTCATCCTTCTCTGTCTGATTCTGGTTCATCAGCTATTCTCGTCATTAATCTAGTTACTTTCCCCTTCCTTTTTAAGAACAGATGAGGCTGGGTATTCATTCATGAATGTATTGGTTAGTGTGTGTGCGTGCGTGTGTGTGTGTGTGTGTGAGGACTGATTTGTCTTTCCCTCAAGCTGTCCTCATCAGCCCTGTCACCATATGGAAACAGCTGGTCCCCAGTGGTGGAAAGCACTCAGCCCTGCACGAAAACGTCATTCAGCAAGTTAGAAATGCAAACAAGAAAAAAAACGAGTTTCTTGCAGCAGCATGCACCTCAGCAAGTTGCCTTCATATTGTATAAAAGTAGAGTAAAGACAGACAAACATACTCAGACACAGCCCTGGATCATTATTCAAGCCGTGGGGGAACGTTTTCTACTACTACTACTCTGTCGCTGAGACATGCTCTGCACTAGTGCTAGCAAAGTCACGAGGAAGCAGCCAGGCAGCAACGCTCCTGCTGTGAGAGCTCTGTGCTGTCTGGGTGTCTGTAATGGAACTCATTCTGTGGAAATCCCTGACATTAATTTGACCTTAAATGGGAAAGTTACTCATCCTTAAAGGATGTGGTGGGCTTTTTGAGGTTTTCTGTGTTTGTCATGTTTGCCATTAAGTTGCCACTCGAGTCTTCTCAGTGTTAGTGTGCTGGGTGAATGAGGACAGACACGGGGAGGGGAAATCTTTATCCAGTACTGAAAGGGGAGCCAGGTCAAAAGCTGCTGCAACAGCCATGACACTGAAAGAGGTCCACCAACGTCTGGATGCTGCAGGGTGAATTTTCATTGGCCGTGCTATAATGTGTTCCATTTACTTTGGAAATTATAACTTAAATCTTAATAAAGTTTAAAACCACAGTATGTCGTGGCGGATGTCTGCTCGTACTGATTCTGGTTCTGTTGGGGGTTTCTTCCTGTTAAAGGGGAGTTTTCCTCTCCACTGTTGCTACATGCTTGCATAGTACGGGGATTGTTGTAAAGTCACCGACACAAGTCAAATAAAATAAAGCAATTTTCAAAATATAATTTCGTTTTATAAATAGTTCTTCTGATTCTTTTCATTTTTGCATTTTAGATCAATAACCTTCTAATCGATGTATTATTAATTATTGATACATCAATATAGATCGATAAACCAATGAATTGTTATACTTCTACTAATCTCGCTGATTACGATGCATTTTTAAACACCAGCTAAACAAAATCTATAATAACAAAATTGAGAGTGGTTTAAATAAACAAACACTGAACGAAGTACCAATTACATGCAAGGCAGCCATATTGGATCTTGAGATGAGGACTTGTGAGAAACCTCTGGCCTTTCAGTCAGTTTTTTCTAAATCGTAACTCAGAAATTCCAACTTCCGAGCCCCGGTGGAATGCACCATCAGGCTGTGAAGATAGCAGAGGAATTTAAGCAGTAAATGCAATCATTTATGTTGCTAACATTCACAATCATACGGTTTCACCATGGGTTTGACAGGCACACAAAGAACGGTTCTGTTGCATTTTAGTGGGTTTTTTGTGATAAAAGCATATCGGGGGTCATTGGGTCAGCCTGTGGTTACTGGTTGTAGATAAGTGTATAAGATACCAGAGAGTCATTTGACTGAAACAGAAACCGTTGCTGTTTGTATTATTTAAACTTAAGTTTTTTTCTCTTTTGTTCACAGCAAAAAGCCTCGGGCAAGGTGCTGTTTGACCTGGTGTGCTCCCACATGAACCTAACTGAAGGTGACTACTTTGGCTTGGAGTTTCAAAACCAACAGAAGATGATGGTGAGAAATGTAAAGTCAAATAAAACCTCCTCAAACATTCAGAGTTGTTTTAGTAATAAAAAAGCCATTTTTATTCCTGCACAGGTCTGGTTGGATCATATCAAACCTATTATCAAGCAGCTAAAACGTAAGTGTTTCAGAATGCTTGCAAATTCTATATTTCCTGTAGAAATTATAGAATAAATCGGTGTAACTTGGGGGTTTTTTTCCTCCCAGGACCAAAACACACAATTCTGCAGTTCAGTGTGAAGTTTTTTCCCCCAGACCACGCACAGCTGCTGGAGGAGCTGACAAGGTGAGCTCCTCTTCAGATCCTCTAACAGCAGTCATCTCGGCACCACGTTTCTCCTCCACCTGATTCACATCCACACCCGAGTTGGTGTGAATGATCTCAGCTGGATAAATGAAACACGTGCTCCGATTCCCCTGAAAATTTGTCGTCTTCTCAGTCGTCATGGCTGCCGTGTCTCTGATTTAGCTCCCTGGAGATTAGCGTGGTGAAGCTAATGATTTTCTGGTTTCCTGTTTGGTAATTCCACATGTGCCGCATGTTTTACAGACACACTGGTGAAGTAATCGATTAGCAGGCTGCAGCGCTTGCATTATTGTTCATGACTTAATCTGTTGAGAATGAGATGTTATTTGACGGATGTTTTAATTGTTTTTGTTTGTGGTCAGGTACTTGTTCGCCCTCCAGATCAAACAAGATCTTTCCTGCGGTCGTCTGACCTGCAACGACACCAGCGCAGCGCTGATCGTCTCCCACATCATCCAGTGTGAGTCTCATTCTCATCTGATAAAAAAATGCACTGCTCCTTCTTCTACGCAGAGCTTATCATCAAACATTGTCATAACCCACACCGCACAGCACTGCAAATTGATTATCTTTGCGTTGCCATGGAGACCTGTCAGGCAGATCCTGAATGTAATCTTGCAGAGCTGCTTCAGAGCAGCCATTTGTGATCAAAGTGTTTTTCTTTCTTACAAAAAAGGAGATTTCAAACATGTTTCTCCTCTTTTTCACGTCTCAGCTGAGATCGGGGACTTTGAGGAGAGCCACTGCCGGTCGCACCTCCTCAACAACAACTACATTCCAGATCAGATGCCTCTGATTGACAAGATCATGGAGTCTCACTCAAAGCATTTGTGAGTTTCTGAGCTCAAACACTTTGAACCTGCTCACAAGGTCAGCAAAGCAACGAGCTGGCTGCACATTATCCTCCGCAGGCGTGAACAGGAAGTGGTGTTGCAGACTCTGTTATTGTCCCACTGGGATGTTTTATTACAGAGGTGACACATTCAGGAAAGCAGCTACTGGATGAATGTTTTTTTTTCTCTTTGTCATATCAACTTGGGCTAGCCAAGGCTCCTTTTAGCCACGAGGCAACACTGGCGCTAAAAACTCAGATTCAGTCTATTTAAGGGCGACTAATGCAGAAGTTTGTCATTAAACTTGGCTGCTTCTTTCTAATTTAATGCTTTGGGGAGGATATTACTGGAAAGGCTCCAGATCTCCTCACACCATCCTCCATCAGTGCATAAGTTATTCACACAGCAGCAGCAGCTTTGCCAACACTCGCCCTCCTCTGCGTCACTCTGTCATGAACACACAGTGGGCGGCAGCTGCAGCATCAGAGGAACTCCGTTAGATTTGACTGCTCTCTTTAACTTTCCTGCTGATAACTGGAACCGCGGTTCCTCTAACTGGGCGCCATGGCGACTTAAATCTTTTATTAAGCGCCACCCCCAGGAAGCAGGAAGGCTTATCTACTGATAAGAATTTGGAAACTTGGTTAACATGTGCAGCCCTTCCCCAAAACTCCCATGTCTGTTCCTGAAAGTCAGATTAACGTTGCGAACCTGGGCGCCGCTGAGTCTTTCGCCTTGGTTAGTGGGACACAGAACAGGCTGATTAAACAGGTTTATTCTATTTGAGCACTATGGTTTCTCTTGATTTTAAAACAAATTGTGCATTTTTTTGTTTCTTGTGTCTGTGTCTTTTACCCATATTGTGGTAAAATCTAGCCTTGAAGCCATAGCAGTAGCAAACGATTTAGCTCTGCAGGTTGGTCTAGCCGTGATCCATTGTAGCCTCAAGAAGTCTACCTCGCCTAACCGAGCCTTTCCACTGGGTGTGTAAGCTGCGCTTGACAGATTAGACGCATTTTACCCTCGAGCTTCCTTCAGACCGGGAGCGTTTTAGATGTAAAGCGGGGGCGAAAGTATTCCATGCAGCTGGTCCCGCGACATCAGGAAATCGCAGGAGAGTTACAACACCACGCATGACTTCAGAAGTTCACTTGCAAGGAGAAAGATGGCGGCATGTGTCCAAAAGGTCTGTGGTTTATTTTCTGGTCCGTTTACTTCGCAACGGAGGTTTCTCAGGAAATCATATACATTTTTTACTAGTTAAGCAACTGGAAATCTGCACCTGACTTTTGTTTTGAAAGTTTTCTGCTTTTGTGTTTGACTTCCTGTCTGACCCGATCTGAACTGCAGAGTTTGGCGCATTCTGGAAGCGTAGAGCATAAAAAAAAACACATAGATTTGTAATGTAACCCTACGCTTCTGGGATGCGTCCACAATGTGACGCTTCACGGCCAATGGGAGGAGGGGTACGTTTAGACCGGGCCAATCACAGTGCTCTATAGGTGTAGAGACATGGGGCCGGCTTAGCATCTTTCAGCAGAGTTTGATTTGTTTTTTACGTTGACAGCAGAGCTGCGACAGAGGAAAACGGTAATATCGGTAGCTCAGGAACGGCACTTATTTAAAACTGCGTTGGCGTCAACTTTGGACAATTGAGACGTTGGCTTTTTGTTGAGACATGAGCAGATAGGTACTTCTTCCTCTTGGACTTATGCAATGGTGTATGGTGGACGATCCAATTGACTTTACTGTAACAATGAATTCTTCACATTGTTCGTTGTTCTGATTGGTCCTAGCATTGGTCCAATTGAGAGCAGAGACACACACACACACACGCGGGGGGGGCGACGGTGGCACAGGAGTTAAGTGCTCGCCCCGTAATCGGAAGGTTGCAGGTTCGAGCCCCGCTCGGTCTGTCACTGTCGTTGTGTCCTTGGGCAAGACACTTAACCCACGTTGCCTGCTGGTGGTGGTCGGAGGGACTGGTGGCGCCAGTGCTCGGCAGCCTCGCCTCTGTCAGTGCGCCCCAGGGCAGCTGTGGCTACATTGTAGCTCATCCCCACCAGTGTGTGAATGGGTGAATGACTGATTGTGTTGTAAAGCGCCTTGGGGGTTCCAGGACTCTAGAAGGCGCTATATCAAATACAGGCCATACACACACACACACACACACACACACACACACACACACACACACACACACACACACACACACACACACACACACACACACACACACACACACACACACACACACACACACACACACACACACACACACACACACACACACACACACACACACACACACACACACACACACACACACACACACACACACACACACACACACACACACACACACACACACACACACACACACACACACACACACACACACACACACACACACACACACACACACACACACACACACACACACACACACACACACACACACACACACACACACACACACACACACACACACACACACACACACACACACACACACACACACACACACACACACACACACACACACACACACACACACACACACACACACACACACACACACACACACACACACACACACACACACACACACACACACACACACACACACACACACACACACACACACACACACACACACACACACACACACACACACACACACACACACACACACACACACACACACACACACACACACACACACACACACACACACACACACACACACACACACACACACACACACACACACACACACACACACACACACACACACACACACACACACACACACACACACACACACACACACACACACACACACACACACACACACACACACACACACACACACACACACACACACACACACACACACACACACACACACACACACACACACACACACACACACACACACACACACACACACACACACACACACACACACACACACACACACACACACACACACACACACACACACACACACACACACACACACACACACACACACACACACACACACACACACACACACACACACACACACACACACACACACACACACACACACACACACACACACACACACACACACACACACACACACAAGCTCTGTTTATGGGTCCTGACCAGACTATATATCTACATGCTCATGATGGCTTGCCAGGCTAGCTAAAGTCTGCATTTTTGCAAGATCTTACAATATTATATTACATCAAAAACAATTATTCTTTGTTAAAAGACAAAATAAATGTCTTTATGATTTATTTAGCTGTTAAATCTATATAAAATATTCTTTAACTGTGATTTGTTTCCCTTCTTTTGTTGTAGAGGTCAGTCACCAGCAGAGTCAGATTATCATTTATTAGAAGTGGCTCGCAAACTGGAAATGTACGGGATTCGGCTCCACCCTGCCAAGGATCGTGAGGGCACGAAGCTAAGTCTGGCCGTGGCGCACACGGGTGTCCTGGTCTTCCAGGTTAGCGGCGCCGATCTGCAGGTTGTAATCCAGACATATGTTACATATCTGCGTTTCATTGCTCATATTTGTGATTATGTCTTTGAAAAAGTTGTTGAAATGTTGACATTTTTCAGGGACACACGAGGATTAACGCCTTTAACTGGTCGAAGATTCGGAAACTGAGCTTTAAGCGGAAACGTTTCCTCATCAAGCTAAGGCCAGATTTGAATGTATGTGTTGCTCGATCCTCCTTTATTAACACAAAATCCTTCAGGATTTTATGTGACGTTTTATTGTCCCTCTTCAGAGTTCTTATCAGGACACGTTGGAGTTTCTGATGGCCAGCAGGGACTGCTGTAAAGTCTTCTGGAAGATCTGTGTGGAATATCACGCCTTCTTCCGCCTCTTTGAGGAACCCAAACCCAAACCGAAGCCTGTGCTCTTCACGCGAGGCTCCTCCTTCAGATTTAGGTATCATAAGGCTGCTCTCCTGCAGTGCTGCAGGCACGTACTCGTATAATAGTCTGCTCCGGCTCCAGCTGAAAAGCTCATCATTATCTCTCCGTGCAGTGGTCGCACACAGAAGCAGGTGATTGATTATGTGAGGGAGTCCGAGTTCAAGAAGATCCCGTTTGACAGGTAAAGGTTACAGATGTTTTGGTTCAAGAAAAATGATTCTGAAGTTGTCTAACGCTGACCTTTAACCCAGGAAACACAGTCGGGTCCAACACAACACGCGGGTTCAACTCAACAGTCGCCCGTCACCGTTGTCTTCTCCTCGCCATCGTGAAGTGCCAGTGGAAGTGAGTCTTTATTTCTATTAACATCCAGTCAGTGTGAAGTTCCCAGTCCACTGATTTCATTATCATGTTCTGTTTGACAGCCTTCCAGTTAGTACATCTAAATAAATGTTTCAGGTTCCTTCTGAAATTTTCACATTTCTCCAGTGAAGTTCTGCGCTTTAATCCAAAAACAGATTATATGCTCTTCTCCTGCTGACTTATCATGAATAGTTTTCAAATTAGCAGCACAATCAGCGCAGACGTGTATCAATTTATCTGCGGCGTTAGTGAAAGTTCAGACCGGTGCCTTAAATCTCCCAACATCACCCATCAGATCGCTTCAGTACTAAACAAAAGCCATTTAAAGGTAGGGTCAGAGTTTAATGCTTGTTCCCGAGGGCTCCGTTTTACATTTTCAACTTGTTGTTGACACCTTTCTGCCATAATTCCTAACGTAACACACCTATGCAACCGTATAACAATTTAGTATGCTAGCTAATATAGTGTAGTGTTTAAAAGACGAAGAGCTGTTTAACTGCAATGTCACGACAGCTCGGCACCACCAGCAATCTGGGAAACCGCACAAACTACTAAAACATCCTCTGACTCGCACTCCCCTCTTGAACGTTTCCCGCGCACATGCATTGCCACGGCAACAAACTGATGGACAACTCTTCCAGCCGACAGAAGCTAGGCTGCATTCACAGGCAGCAGGTCCATCACCTAAACATTTCCCAACAAGAACAGAACCAGACTCTAAACAGAAAGTGTAAACAACTCGCAAAGCGAGTAGATCATTCACTCCATTACACTGGCTATCCTGGCTCGGGCTTCACTTCCTGTTCAGTTGCTCTTTGTAGACAAAATGCAGTTTGTCCACAAAGAGAGGTAAAGGCAGAGGGGGGAGGGACATTCAGAGGGCAGTTTGATTGATGGATCATCATTAACAACAGGATGTTTACAATTATCAGATGAGGGTTTTTTAGGATAGCTTGTTCCAGAGTCGATTAAAACTTTTCAATTTGTTGAAAGTTATTGGTTGCCATCGGTATGTGAAGAGCATATATGACCAATAATAGTCCCCAAAAATGTCTCCTACTGTCCTTTTAAAGAATCTGTTATAAATGTCTCTTGTTGTCAGAGTGGTGCTCCCGAGGACAGACTCGGCTCTCCTTCTCAGCATCATTGGAAGGAATCGGCGCTGGTGAGCGCAGAAGACCCGTTGGCTTCACGGACAACAAGGGCGAGCCCCTCCCAGCAGAGAAACGGCCACGACGACAGGAAAGGATCCATGTCCAACACAGATGAGACGAGAGGCCCAACACGACAGACTCTCCTGGATCCTCTGAGCCAAGGTCCAGCATGTTGGGCTGCCACAAACAGCCGCTCCACCTTCAATGGTTCAAACAGGGAATTTAGCAAGAGCAGGGACAAGGCTGGTGTCACTGATCGTGGTTCTAAGGAGCAGGTCGTGTTTGGCCGAAGCTCTGGATCAGGAGCCCAGCTGGAACAATGTCTAGGTAGAATGCAGCCTAGGGGGTCTCCTCTCCCTTCTAGAGCATCACTCGACATGAACTTTGACCTAGATCAGGGCCTCAAGGGGTCACGTCAAAAAGGCGATAATAACAAAGAGAGGCAGAGCAGCAGCTCCCTCTCAGGTCCACATAAGATGGGTTCAAGGAGTTCTGTCACCAGCCCCCTGCAGGTTTCCTCCCTTCCTCAGTCCGAGCAGAATGGCTACGTCCCCCGGCTCTATGACGACGGTAGATGCTCCCCTCTCCCAAGCCGATCGTCTCACGCACAGAAAAGCCATAAACGGCATCATCAGTTTAATGCAACCCCACACCAGGGTGCATTCCCACCCAGTCCAGAATCACATCCTGTCATGTCCCGGGCTGAGCGTATGGCTGTTCTGGAGCGCCGCATGAAGGCTAACGGCCTCTCAGCGCCAGGCAGGTCCAGGCCCAGTCAGAGGCGACAAGCACATGCTGGCGGCACACACATGGGTGCCGTTCAGATGAGCGAGGACTTCACCACCAGTGGTTCTGAGTCCAGTGAGTCTGAAATGGAGAACAAGGGTGCCTGCAGCAGCCCTTTGAGTGGTAGTCCGGTCGAGGCTAACTCCTCCATACCTAGGAATAAGTTTTCCTTTGGCAGCCTCCAGCTGGACGAGGATGCAGATGAGGATGGATGCCATAACTTCAGTGATGAGGATGGTGGACAGATTTTCAGCTGCTGACGCACAAAAAACAGGCAGAAAAAGTTTGCAAGATCAGTTTCGTGACCAGATGGTTTGGTTGTGTAAATCCAGCAGCACTGATGCACTTTATAAAACTCCGTTCAATCAGTGGGTTCGTGGGGCATTCATTTATTTTTGTGTAAATGCGTCTAAGCTGGTGCCTTGTTGGGATTCCACACTGGATACATGTAGATGCTGCAGTAACACTGCGGCTTTTTGATATTAGCTTGAAACATGAGGATAATTCAAACCTGCGGCGTTAGTGAAAGTTCAGACCGGTGCCTTAAATCTCCCAACAGGGAATTCTGTAAACGTTCGTGAATTTATCCAGGCTGGACTTGATTTTTATCTTTAAATCTTGAACTATTTATCGACATCTTGTTTCGTAATTATTTTCTAGGGCATGGCAGTTTGAGACTTTTATGGGTTTGCTATGCAGTTATATTAATCTACAGCAGCTTTTGTTCTTCACCAACTTAAAACACTTTATAATTATTAAGCAATAACTAGAGGTGTGCGTTGGCAAGAATCTGGTGATACGATATAAATCACAATACAAGGTAGATGGTGTGATATATTGTGATAAGGAGAAATCTAGCAATACCTACGGGTTTCCTGTTTAAATTGGTGTTGTTACATATTCTGCAGTCTCCATCCTAAACAGTAGGTGTCGCTACAGAGAAATGATCACAGCTGCTGGAGTGGCAACAGGAGTGTATATTAGAAAGAATCTGGCGATGCCATATATTGCGAAACTAAAAGCCAAAAGTTAATTGCAATTTTTAAGGCTGAATTTGGTTGGAAAACTCAGGTCAGACGCTTCTAAGACACATCCAGGTTTATCGCGAGATCTCGTTCTGTCAGAATGAAGGCTGTAAAAACCACTGCCACCTAGGAGTCTGAGTTTGAATTGCATCACACAAAAGAAATACAGTAAATGTTTGCATGTAAATTCTAAATAAATAAAATGATGCTTGTAAATATCAATTCAATGTCACAACCCGAAATATTGCAATATTTTCAACAGGAAAAAGGCACCAGGTTAGGAAGGGTTTTACTGGATTCTGTTGCTGATTTAGACGTCGGTGTGTAGGTCAGATTGGTGTGAAGGTGGTTTGTCTTTCTTATACTGACATTTTCAAATTTCTGAGTCCTGCATGAGCTACTTGGATGTTGTTCTTAAACATTTCTGTCATCTCAATAAAATGCACTGCACTTTTATGTTTTTCTTCATTTCTTTTGCACTTCTCTTATTGTCTGTTTAATCCGTGTAAAGACAGCAATAACCTTTATGTTGCATTTCTGGTTTCTTTTCTTCAGTTTTACTCGTGAGAATGATTCTGTTTCATCTTGTCTGATTTCTTCTCACCTGTGACTACATGTAAGCCTGTTCTGTTGCTCAGTGTGTGTGTGTGTGTGTGTGTGTGTGTGTGTGTGTGTGTGTGTGTGTGTGTGTGTGTGTGTGTGTGTGTGTGTGTGTGTGTGTGTGTGTGCATGCATGCATGCTCCCTTTTCTGCAGCGATCCATCTCACTGTTAATTCATCCGGAGTAAAGAGAACATCATATTGTGGACGTTTGGGAATTTGCAGAAAAATAGAAGCAGCTTTTAGTACCTGTGTGTGTTGCGTACTTGTGAAAGGCAGTTTAAGGACAACGCCTCAAAGCACGGAGCCTCTTAGCTCATCCATCATAGTCAGCTGCGTTTGCAGCACTCCTGAACATTTCACTTCAAGAATCCACATCATGGTTTTGATATTAGAGGAGCTGTTAGATTACATGTTTTTAGTGGCAAGTGAACAAAGCTCTGCATGAATGATCAGAATTCTCCCTGAAAAAGAAGAGATATAGACACTGGATCACGGCAGCAACGGGAAAGCACAAACATCTGGCTGGAATTTTTACAGAAACGTGCAGTTTTAATGAACTCAACACTTCTATCCTACCAACTCTTTGCATGGTCAAAAATAGTAAGACTGTGTGTGTTCTCAACCACTGGTGTCCTTCAGGGTGTGTTTTTCTGTGCATGCTGTCCTAAACCACACGCTGCTCTCTGCATGTGCTTTGCTGTATGTACTGTATAGGTGTTGTGCTAAAGTCTGGAATCCTTCCTCAATCCTTTATATTTGCATCAAACACATTTTTGTTTTGAAATCTTTTAAAATAGTTTTGAGTGATTACTTTTTGTCTTTCAGAAATGTTTGGCCTTCAGCTGGTTTCTCACTTATTTTTCAATTTAAAATAAATATTTAGCCTAAGTGTTTGCTAACTAGCTAGTGTCTTGCTAGCAGTGACTTTGTTAGCAGCAGCCTGTCACAAGGACACAATTTGTTCCCATTTTCTGAGAAACGTCGACTTCTGACTATTTTATGGGGATTTTTCAAATCCATTTGAAGTGTATTAGGTATACACTTAGGATACAACAATTAGGATCACAACATGCCCTATAGGTTATAAATTGTAAGTCGCTTTGGATAAAAGCGTTTGCTAAATGAATAAACATAAAGAATAGATGGTTCAAGTATGGAAAAAGGCTGCACCCATCTTTTAGCTAGTTGGCTAGTATTCTGCTATGCTAACTTTGTTACCTGAAACCTGTCACAAAAACACAATTTTTACCCCCAAAAAAACAAAATCTGATGCATTAAATTTAGTTTTTGAACCAAGTGATTCCCTTAAAGTGTGCACACAGTTAGATAGTAAGCTGACTGATAACAACGATGAATGACTTTCTGACAAGTTTTAAAAAGCCTGAATGATATTGATCAAGCCTATTTCAAAACAGCTGCTTGTTTATCTGAAGCAAAATATAAAGAATTTAGGTTCTCTGCTGGTTATCTCACTCCTGTGTAAATTGACATTGGGTCAGTATATGTAGAGTATTAAACTGCATATTAACATGGGACACGTATAGCTTTGTGTGTTTCAGATGACATTTTATAATAAAAAATGACTGAATCAAAACAAGATTTTAGTTCAGAAAAATGCAGCAGTTATTTTAGAGGTGTGTGTGTGTGTTCTCCCTCTTGTGTAGCTTTGCTTGTTTATAGCTCTCATTTGTAGCACCCTTGTAGATATCTGCTTTATTAGTGCTAAAACTTAATGTTGTGCTTGTTTGTGGTCATATAGTTACTTTTTTTTAATTGTGGTGACACACCAGAAGATGGTAGAGTGAGGTGAGCATGTTTCTGCTCTGACATACTGTCGTGAGTAACGCCGTCTGCGTTGATGGCACTAAGTAAGCCTCTCATCCCCATCATCCTGCAGTACGGGCGTCAGCTTGTGGTTTAAAGGCTGCTGGAGCTGTCTGGACTTCAGAGTGAGTCATGGTTGATTTCTACCCTCATCAGGCCTCCTATAGATTTCCCTCAGTGTGGTTTTAGTGTGTGTCATTGTGACCTGTGGGTCAAAGTGTATTCATGTTTGCTGTGGCCAATTTAGGGTTTCATTTCCTTCGGCAACAGCATTGATTATTTTATTATTTTTGGTGTCTGGATGATAAAACTAATAGTTATTATTTAAGGTTGGATATGGAACACGAACACCAAAGCGACATCTAGTGTGTGGAGGGTGTAGTTGCAACGATAGAACAAGGTTTCCAGCCGTCGGGATATACATGAAATTATTTATTTGGGTCCATCTGTTGTAGGCTTCACCTAAACTCACTCTGGTTTTAGATCTTTTATGGACGCCCCTCTTCTGAGAAGGATATCTTCTGGGCTCAGAAGCAGCTGCTTGACTTACACAGTCCCCCATTTTCCTCAGCGACAGCCTCACTGTGCCATGGCTGTGTGTCAACATGCAATGGTGCTCTCCATTGGCTGGTAGATGTAAACATAAACTCAGTGTCATCCTGTCAATAAATATTTGATTATTTTTTAATATAGCCTTTAAAGTAAACACTTGACCTTCTTTCTGCACACCTATAAACGTCCCGTGGAAGTATTTTTTTTAATATAGTTTTTTTTACAAATTGTTCCATATTCAACCTTTAACACTGGATGATTTTTGAAAAATATTTCAATCAAAACAACAATATTAAGAAGGAGAAAGTTTTGTATGGTGTTGAACAAGCATCTAGAAACTATTGCTGGACTGGTATATTTGAATGAAGGAGTCATTGTAGACTGGCATTATGTAATGGTCCCATTCAGTCATTGCTATGTTCATTTATCTCATAAAGCAAGATGTGAGTTTAGCCCATAATATCTATGTCAACAGCTCAGGCTTAAGAAGTCCTGCCTACTCCCCTGCACATGATCAAGGTGTGTGTGTGTGTGTGTGTGTGTGTGTGTGTGTGTGTGTGTGTGTATATATATATATATATATATATATATATATATATATATATATATATATATATATATATAATGCTAAACATAATAGATAAATGAGGGGTTGAACGTGCAGCAGAAAGGTTAGGACTATAAAAATCAAGTCAAAACCTGAAAAAAGATACTCTGAAATGTTTTTTATTAGTTTTTAATTTAAGGTGGCAAGGTTTAAAATGTATTCGGCAACCAGCCACCAGGGGGCGAGGTTTAGTTTTAGTTTATAACTTTAAGTTATATTCAGACATTTAGGTAATGAGAATCGTCCTAAAATCCTTGTACAACCCTCATGACATTTATTTAGACAACAACCAAAAGTTATCAACAAACCAGTCAGTCGATTTAACATCAGCACCTGGAATCTGGAAGGTTTATTAATCAAAAAAATTATATTAGTTTCTGGAGATTATTACTTATCTTAAGCATCAATCAGTTGTGTTTTTTCTTCTTGAAGATAAATTGGATTAAAAATGTCTTTAAATGTTGGAAAACTGGAATCTTTTGTCCAGTTTAAAGTGTCTAAAGCATCGACAGTAGTGAAATCCTTTCAGATTAGATTATGTGTGCAGCCATATCTCAGCTGTATTTTATGAAATGAACACAAACTGACATCAATCTGTTACCCCCGCCCAGGTGTGGGTTCTAACAGCCCTCACCTGTCCATTTCCTCTGGACACCCCCTTGGGATGGTGAATGGTCAGAGGTCCCTGGAACTATGCAGCCACAGTCCCGATGGCCGGCAGCCCTCCCCGCTCACCAGCCCGCTGCTCAACGATGCCTGCAGCGTTCGCACCGACGATGAAGACGAAGTCCGAAGGAAGGTTTGTCTCTATTTTTTCCTTTAATAACTCTTCAATGATAGTTCACTAGTTGAAATCTGGACTCTGGTTGCAGAGGTTCCCCACAGATCGAGCCTACTTCATCGCCAAGGAACTGTTGACCACAGAGAGGACGTACGTGAAGGACCTGGAAGTGGTGACCGTGGTAAGATGACCTGCTCCCGTCTTCTGGGGAGAAAAACATTCATTATTCCAGTTAGCTGCAAATCCCAGAAATGGGCAGTGATGCACAAACACTATGATAGAAGCAATTTTCTTTATTCCTTTGAGCTCTGAAATGCATTTATCCATTCCACACCAGGTAGTGAATTCTAAATCTGGTTTGTGTTTACAATTGCTGATTTAGTCGAAGTACGTTTGGTTGCATTCAATAACGTCTTGAAGGAAACAGGAGATTAAAAGTGCAGGGATGCACTAGACGTGTGGATGATGATGTTAGGATCTCTATCTTTCTTGGCTTGTGTTACTTTGTTCGGCTGTGTGTGTGTGTGTGTGTGTGTGTGTGTGTGTGTGTGTGTGTGTGTGTGTGTGTGTGTGTGTTAATTCTTCCCATTCACTGCTGCCGCTGTCTTGTTGACGGTTCAGGATGAAGTCATCTGAACAACAGCTGGGACTTTGTCTCCAGCCCTTCTATAGAAACTAAAGTTTCCCCTTCCCGTCAGCTGGATAAAGCTGCGTCCGTGTGCTCAAATCCACATTTTCAGTCAACCTGACTTAATGGAACAATGTCAGAGCAGCTATTCATTTTTCTTGTTTTTCTCTGCCACTTTAGGGATTTAGGAGTTGGTTTATTGCAGAAAAGTAAAGTTTAATGCTTTAAGACAAGCTCCTGTATTCCTCAATTAGTTTTCAAACTTTAAGAACCCTTTCCTTTTAGTTCTCAGTTTTATGCTTGATTAGTCTTTCACACCTGTTTCTAATCACTTGGTTGTTTTTCCTTGAGAGCAAAGGGATGAAATGACTATTTAATAAATGTGAAACAATAGATGAGTCATGCTTTTCTTTTTAAAAGCTGAAGCTGGCCACGCCCACCCACAAAAATAAACAATAATGAACAAGAGTCTGCTTCTAGTTCTAGACCTGCAGAAAGAGAAAACAAAATGGGACACAACAACAATACAAGATCTAGCTATCACTGTGTCAACTTGATGAAGAAATATATAATCAACATTGTTTAACTGAACAATCACACGATAATAAATCACGGTGCATTTAGTGCCAACCACAGCCTTAAGACATGTGTTGAACGTGCCCAAGTCCATATTTATGAGAGCACCATGTGAGCACCTGTGTGTGTACACGCGCTTGTTTATGTAAGGGGTCTCTATAAGAGCATCCAATAGAGAATGTGAGGGGCCACAGATCTGCCCCCTAAAGATGTGCAGGAGACGGAGGAAGCTCCAAGTCCCAGAGATCCAGGAGCTGCCCCAGAGCACAGGAACCCCGGGGAGACTGCGACCAGAAAAGCCCCTGCCCCCCTCAAGAGGCAGAGGATTGCCCCGGGGGACCACAACCATTAGCCGGCAGAGTCCCGGGAGATATCGGCGGCAAGCCCACAGGCCCGCCCGCAGCCTCCCACCCCCTAGCCGGCCGAGCCCGGGACCCAGCGACCCGGGACCCAGGGGCGACCACCCCTGCCGGGGACCCAGCAGAGCCCAGGGACCCAGACCCCACCAGGCAGCCACCGGGATTGGTCAGGCAGGCGCCAAAAATCTTAAACCCCCTGAACTGGGAGCCACGAACACTCAGGCAGACCAAGGCACCACACTCCACACCAGGTGTGGCAGGGGGAGGGAAGATGAAGATGTATAGCATCAAAAGAAGTCCCAGGAGAAGGGAGGAGTCAAAGGCCTCACCTGACATATACAGTCATACACAGACACAATCACACACTCCCTCCCTCATGCTCACACATACACCTACAACCAAAGACTTACAAAATGCATGCTTGACACCCACTCATGCTCCCCATACACACCCTATTCACTCTGGTCCCTGTACTGTTGCGCATGGGGTACAACCATTACCGGTTCCCAGAGTTCAACCCTTTCTGCTGGGGTGCTGATGAGCAGGCTCCCCCGCCCAACGCTGAGCACAGCTACCCACCACCCTAGACCCTAACCAGACGGCCGGATCTCCCTCCTAGCCTCCAGCCCCAGGAAGCCAAGCGACAACAGATGCGTGCTAAGACCCCCTAGTCTCCCTCCGCCTGCTCCAATATGGTGTTAGTGAGTGTTGATGAGGTGTATTCCATGGCTGTGGTGAGCGGGCAGTGCGGGCATCATCTGGCCTTTGCCAGCTGATGCCACCACACCACCCCACTTGCACCCACAGCCCTCGGTGTCTAAGTGCAGTTTAAAATTGGAAGTGGGCACCGGCACTCGGGAGGAAGCTGAGAAATCCCCCTGCCAACTGCCGTTGAATGTGCTCACTCCCAAGGCCCTAAGTGTGTGTTTGCGTGGAATGTCGTTGGTGGAAGTGTTTAAGGTGCAAATAAAATTGGGGGGCAGGTTGCCACAGGAATGCGGGAATGGGGTCCATACCCGCATTCCCTGACTTGTCTACCCCCCAAGGTCCTATGTGCATGTTTGTGTGATGATGTGAAGGAGCAAGAGGAGAGAAATGTGTGGGGCTGGGGGGGGCTGGTTGGGCTTAGCCCTCCAGGGAGCCAGCTCCCCCCACTGGCCGGCCCCAATAGGCACCTCTATTGTCAAAATGCCACCCAGGGCATGGAGACCCCAGCCCATCCTGCCAGGGCCCAAAGCAGCAGCATCACAGTGCCTCACAAAGTCTGATGGCACCAACCCAGCCCCACCCCAGCAGAATATCTACACCCATCCCTGCATTTGCACAACTTCCAGATTATATAAGACATAGGACATCCAGGTACGGTTGGGTCCTCCCCCTCCTGGGCTTCCCCCTCCCTCTGGGATGGGACAGCAGAGGAGCCAAGGTATACTTGAGGCCCCTGAACCCGAGCCAGGCACTGCTGCATGTTCCTGCCTTCTTCCCGGCAGCATACATGTCAGGACCCGACCCCCAAGGCCCCGCCCAGATCCCCACATGGGGCCGGCCACCCCCACACCCCGAGCCCCCAGGCCCCCACCCAGACCGGCCCATGGGTAATGCAGCTGCTGGGCAGCGGCCCTATGGCCACCGCCAAGAGCTCCAAGAAGCCCCACTCACAATCGCCAGTAGTCCACCCCCCGGGGCAACCCAAGCACCTCCAGAGGGGAGCAACAGCCCCCAGTCCCAGACACCCCCAGTGAACCCACCTCCAGGGAACTTCCGGATACTCCAAACTCAGACCCTCCACCCCCTCACCCATATCATCCCGCAGGACAATATCAATGATCCCCATCATCGCTATGTGATGGAACCGATCAAAGGAGCCCAGAGAGATTGATTTGAAGTCGAAGCAGAGGTTATATCAAGTGTAATATGATCTAACAAAAGATTTCCATACTGGTTGATACAAAGAGTATCTCTATTTTTCCAAATCAAGAGGATACCGTAAATCCTCTAATACAGGCCCGGGCCTCTATTTGACTCAAGCTCATCAAGCTCCAGGCCTTTATTGGAAGGAGGGCCAGTATTAGAGGCAGGCCTCTATTTCCATTTGAGCAAAATGAACTAATGTTCATTGGAGTTTTTGACAATTAAAATTGCGCCCACATTTTCAAAGTTAAACACATTTCTTTTAACAACGGTAGTTTCTGCTTCAGCCATCTCCCCCCTCCCCCTGCTTTAGCCCTCTCCCCCCTCCCCCTGCTTTAGCCCTCTCCCCCCTCCCCCTGCGCAGCGGCCGCAAACTCACTGATGCGCCTGCAGCCTCTCGGAGTTCCTGCTGCTCTAAACATTAAAATAATTATTTCATTTTCTGTTCCTCACTTCTGATGACCTTCAATGGTGTCTGTTTGTTGCAACAGCAGGTACAAAAACTAACTTGTTTTTATTTTGACTATTTTTCTGTCCTGCCTGTTTATTATCTTCCTGCATCTCCTCTCAATCCTAAAGAAAAACTGCTACCTGGGTTCATATATATTCACCTCATGAGTTACCTTTGAACTGCAGTTCTAAAAGATCTACCGACCGCAAAAACAGCGGAGTGCTCGCTGTTTGTCGGCCGTATCAGTGATCAGTGCGTCGGAGGACAAGGTGATGCGCGCAGCGCCCCGCTCCACAGCATGCAGCAAACGCATCAGGCGCAAATAAAAGACAGAAAACATTAAAGGAAATGAACTCACATGAACGATCGCGTGTTAAATTAGTTTTTGAGGTGGCGACACCTGATTGTTACTGTGGCCGTGCTCAGGAGGCAGATCTACCGACCGCGAAAACAGCGGAGCGCTCCCTGCTTGCCGGCCGCATCAGGGACAAGTTGATGCGCCCCGCTCCACAGCAGCGATACACATCAGGCGCAAATAAAAGACAGAAAACATTAAAGGAAATGAACCGACATGAACGATCGCGTGTCAGTGCCTACGGTCTGGCACAGCGCGTTGCCCCCCCCCCCCCACCCCCCCCCCCCACCCCCACCCCCTGAGCGCAGGAGCTTGTCACCTGCTGACAGCAGGCTGCTGTCTTTTCCGAGGGCTGCATCTTGCCGGTCATTATCACGTGACAGCGACTAGTCGACGACAGGCATAAAAAGTCACTATAGTGAAGTTGACTAGTTCATACACCCCCTACTGCTGCTCTCCAGAGTGTTCTGCAGCATAATCAGCACGTTCTCTTTGAACTTGATAGTGTAATGACCTGGCTGGGGTTGTAAGCCAGGTGCATTCTGGGTATTGTGTCATATGTGTTTCCTATCATTCTGCTAGTTCCTATGTGCTGATTTGCGTGTTGTGTGAGTGTTATGTAAGCCACAGGGAAGGTGATGTGTGTTCTGTGGAGCGGGTTGAATTAGCATGGTTAACTGACACCGTGACTCTGTGTGGTAGGAGCGTGATAGAGGATCGTGTCTGTAGCGTTACAAAGCGTTGAAGAAAAAGCTTAATAAAGGTCTGCGTGAACGTCTACTGCCTCCTGCTGGTTGATTTGGGGACTATAACCCTGCCACCGGGACGCTCATACTTGCTTGTTACTACATTCCACCCGGCCACAATAAGAGACCGGCCATTATTTACCTAAACTAACTCTGACACCGGCCACAATTGGAGACCCGGCCTATACCGGCCTGTATTAAGAGGATTTACGGTAGTTTTCTTAGCGATGCATATGGCAGTCAGAACCACGTGAGCCGAAGATGTTTCAATCGGGACATCGTCCAGGTTTCCCAGTAAACAAAGAGAGGGGGCGGTTGGGATATGACATTTCAGACACTTTGACAGGTCTTCACATACTCTACCCCAAAATTCCAGGACAGGTGGACAAGTGCATGAATGTAATTGTCAGGAATGTTGTTTGTGCAGTGTGTACAGGTGTCAGATGACACAAACCCCATCTTGAACATCCGATGACCTGTATGGTGTACTCTGTGTAGAATTTTGTACTGAATTAATTGTCAAATTGAAGTGTCTGATCATTTTAAAAGTTTTTAAACAAGTTTGGGACCAGAAGTTCTGGTCAAAGCTGACTGATAGATCCACCTCCCATTTTTCAATAGGGATTGCCATTCTATCGTCTATTTTGGACAGTGTCTTATATACTGTAGACAGTAGTTTGGGGGGTTGAGATTATAGAAGTCAAATACCCTTGGTGGTGTTTGTAATTCTATTTTATTGAGCTTAAATTTTTGTTTGACTACAGATTTAATTTGGTGATATTCTAAAAAGCTATTCTTATCTATTCCAAATTGGGAGACTATTCTATTAAATGGGATGAAGTCCAATCCTTCATATATGTGTTCCAGGTGTAGGATTCCTTTATTTTTCCAGTCCAGAAGGTTCATCATTTTGTTATTTTGCAAAATATCAGGATTATTCCAGATAGGTGTGCATCTGCATGGTATTAGTGAAGACTCTGTCATTTTAGATACTCCCACCATGCTGTCAGAGAGGTGCTGATACTAATACTTTTGAAGCCTTCATGTTTTCTTATGCTTGAACTAATAAATAGTAAGTCTGAAAGCTCTATCGTATTGCAAAGTGGCTGTTCTATGTCTAACCAGGACTCATCTAGTGGGTTATCTTGCAACCATCTTGGTATATATTGCAGCCTGCTGGCTAAGAAATAATAATAAAAGTTGGGTAGATCCAGTCAGTCCTCCTTTGTCTTTGGTCTTCTGAAGCGTTTTTAAGCTAATTCGTGGAGGTTTATCCTGCCAAAGGAATTTGGTAATTGAGGAGTCCAGAGATCTAAACCAGTCAGCTGGTGGCTTGTTTGGGATCATTGAAAATAAGTAATTTCTTCTGGGTAAGACCATCATTTTAATTGTAGCAACCCTCCCCATGAGTGATATCGGTAAGGATTTCCATCTTGCAAGATCATCTTCCACTTTCTTTAAAAGTGGGATGTAGTTTAGTTTGGTTAGTTTGTAGTTTAGTCTGCCAACTTGGGAGAGACATTAATTCCCAGGTATGTGATATTCCCTGACTCCAATTGTGTATTAAGTAAATTGACAAAAGAGAAATTAATTGGTAGAACTGTGAATTTTAACCAGTTTATAGAGTACTCTGAAACTTTTGAAAAATAGTTAATCAGTTCTATTGAATGGGAGAGAGAGGATTAAGAATTCGGGAGAAAGAGTAAAACATCATCTGCATAAAGACTAATCTTATATTTTATTTTCTTACACTTTATCTCTTTAATACCTGTTGTTTGCCTAATTGCTGCTGTTAATGGTTTGATAAAGATAGCAGACAGGGGGAGAGTGAGCATCCCTGCCTGGTCCCCCTCTGAAGACAGAAGCTAGCTGATATTTGGTCATTTGGCCTGACACGTACAGTTGGTGAACTGCATAATGTTTGTAGCCAGTTCATGAAGAAGTTCCCAAAACCAATTTATGTAAAGTTGCAATCAAGAACTTCCAGTTAACTCTATCAAAAGCCTTTTCTGCATCTGGAGATAATATACTAGTCTCTATGTTTCTACTGTAAGAGAAATCTATCAAATTAAGTTATCTACGTGAGTTTGTGGATTACTGTCTACGCTTGATGAAACCAGTTTGGTCAGGGTGTATTATGAAGGGGGTTACCTTCTCTAATCTTTTTGCCAGGGCTTTACAAATAATTTTGAGATCAACATTAATAAGAGAATTTGGGCGATAGCTGGTAGGAAATGCAGGGTCTTTGCCTGATTTTAACAAGAGACTAATATGGGCTGAATTCATGTTTGGCTGTAATCTGCCACTCTCTTCGATTTTCCTCACCATTCTGAAAAATGTTGGAGCCAGAATGATCCAAAATTCTTTGTACAACTCTGCTGGAAATCCATCTGGACCTGGAGCTTTCCTATTAGTCATGGATTTAAGGGCTTCCTGGAGGTCAGCTGATGTTAGTGGCGAGTCCAGGACTGTAACTTGGCTGTCTGATAATTTAGGAAGTGTTATCCTGTCAAGGAACTCATTGATCTTGTTATCTGATGGGTTTATCTGTGGTGAGTACAAAGTTTGGTAAAATTCTCTGAAAGTGTTGTTTATGCTTTCAGGGTCATAAACTATATTCCTGGTTGAGTCTTTAACAGCAGATATGGTAGTTTTCTCTTTATTTATTTTTAATTGGCTAGCCAAAAATTTACCTGATTTATTGCTATGTTCAAAGTTTTCTATTTGTAGTCTTTGTGCTAAAAATTGTGTCTTTTTGTCAATAATTCCATGAAGTTCTAATATAGCTTTACGTAATTTGCTCAGTAACTCTTCTTCTGTGGATGCCTCTAAAGACTTAATGATTTCTTCTAACTCCTGAATACGTTTGTTTTCTGTTTTTTTCTTATGTGATGAGAAAGACTTTATTTTACCTCTCATCACTGCCTTTCCTTCCTCCCAGAGAACAGATGCTGATGTTCCAGGCAGGTCATGTTCTAAATATAAAGCCCACTCCTTTTAAAAAAAATTTCTATTAAACCTTTGTCTTTAAGCAGTGATGTATTAAACCTCCAGTTTTCTTGGTGGGATTGTCTTCTTGTTTACCAGAGTTAAAGAAACCGGAGCATGGTCACTGACAACTATGGGGTGTATCTCAGTGTCTGAAATGTCAGCCAACAATGAGCTGCTGACTAGAAAATAATCCAAACGCGAATGAGAGTGATGGACGTGTGAGAAGAAAGTATATTCTCTACGGTTAGGATGAAGAGATCGCCTTGCTTCACAAAGCCCATAATCACTCATGTACTGTTTAACTATGTTAGTGGATTGCCAATTGCGCTTAGTCCCAGCTGTACTGAGCCTGTCTGTTAAAGTGTCCATCCAAAAATTAAAATCGCCTCCAAGTATAAGTGGACAGTCCAAGTGTTTGGAGAATACAGAGGAAAAAATTATGAAAGAATGAAGGGTCATCAATATTTGGACAGTATATTATAATAATAATAATAATGCATTGAACTTATATAGCGCTTTTCTAGACACCCAAAGACGCTTTCACACACTCTCGCATTCACACACTGCTGGTGATGGTAAGCTACTTGTAGCCACAGCCGCCTTGGGGAGGTCTGACAGAGGCGAGGCTGCCATTTGGTGCCGTCGGCCCCTCTGACCACCACTAACGCAGGCAAGTTGGGTGAAGTGTCTTGCCCAAGGACACAACAGCAGGATACCCCTGGCTGGAGCTGGAATCGTACCCATGACCCTCCGATCATGAGGCAACCTGCTCTACCACCTGAGCTACTGCTGCCCCAACTACTGCTGACAATACATAAGCTTTGGCTCTGTACAGATATTTTTAACATTATAAATCTACCCTCTGGATCAGAAACTGTGTCCAATACTGTGAAATTGATGTTTTTGTGTATTAACATAGCTACACCTCTTTGCCTAGAGTTATAGCAGGCAGAGAACATGCTGGGAAACTCAGTTGTTTTAAGTTCCTGAAATTAAAAATGGGGACCTTTTCAAGTGGCTCATTTCAGGCACTTAATTCCTAAAACCACATTCACAAAATGTTTGGAGAGTTAGATAGTAGAGACCCACATGGCAACACAAAAAGATGCAAAAGGTAAGTTTTGCATAATTCCTCCCCTCTAGATTGTGTAAGCCCAGATCCACATTGAAGGTTTTGACAAGAAAACTACCACACATCTTCAATCCAGTTGAATTTAGTGTGATATGAATCATAAAAAATATATTTTTTGCAGTATTGCATATCACTCATGTCCCAATGCTTTTCCCAGTCATTCCAGAGTGCTGTGGGACAAGACGAGGCAACCCCGGACTCCCTGAAGAACACTGTCCTATCCACCTTCGAGCCTCTGCACAAGTTCCACGCTGGTTTTCTCAGGGAGGTGGAGCAGAGGCTGGCCCTGTGGTGAGCCTCCTTTCTGTTCTTTTATTTATTTTTGTAATGACTTATTTTTATTGGCACGCAGCCTGAGAGGGTGACCCAAATCCCTTTAGGTGTCCCGAGGAGCTGCCATCTCCATGGCAACACCACAACTGGCCTTTTCTTGCCTGTGGGTTTGTGCTGTCTTTAATGATGTTGTTCTTTATCAAACACCCACTGACATGCTTCTCCCCTTACGCACACACACACCTCTGTGTTAGAACATTAAAGCTGAAAGTGAAACGCTGATAAAAGCCATATTCAGACATTAATGCAAATCATCCTGAGCTTCGATCTCTCTTTTTTATAGCTTTGCATATTCAAACATATCTGGTTATTGTTCATGTAATGTGGAAACTATCATTTGGAGGTGAGGAGGGGCATGTTTATGATTTAGAATTATGAAAATATATCCTTAAAAGGTCCAAAAATGGCATTCAAACGCTCCTCCGTCAGGCATGTATGATTTAACCTCAAGGGAGACACCTGCTGGTGGATAATGAAACTTTTACAAAGTTCATTTTTATTAATAAAATACTTAATTGAATAATCTCTAACGTTTGTGTTGTCTAATTAATTGATTTACCACCTGGAATGATGTTAATTACATTAATGGATAATTATAAGAGAAATATGTTTTTAAAGGAGAAAAGGCACGCTGAGCCTTTTTGGTGCTGATTTTCTGTTTTAGGGAGGGGCGTTCCAATGCACACATTAAAGGAGACTACCAGCGCATTGGAGATGTCATGCTTAAAAACCTTCAAGCTTTGAAAGTGAGTTAAAACTTAGTGCATTTTTCTTGACCAGTGGTGTATCATTAATCATGTATAACATATCTGTCGGTAGCCTCTGACAGCAAACCTGCACAGGCAGTCTGACATCCTCCTGGAGCTGGAGAAAGCTTTCAAAGCGTCCCGCCGGTTGGAGAATCTGTGCAGAGACTTTGAGCTGCAGAAGGTCTGCTACGTCCCCCTAAATGTCTTCATCCTTCGACCTCTTCACCGACTCGTTCACTACAAGCAGATCCTAGAGCGCCTGTGCAAACACTACCCAGCCACTCACGTGGACTTCAGGGACTGCAGAGGTGATGCGCTCTCAGTTCGTCACTCCCCGCAAAACAGACATGGCCTTTCTGTGTGTTTTAATCACCTCGCTTTAACTCACCTGCAGCTGCTCTGGCGGACGTGTCCGAGGTGGTGGATCAGCTCCAGGGCAGCCTGATGAAGATGGAGAACTTCCAGAAGCTCCTGGAGCTGAAGAAGGATTTGCTTGGCATCGACAATCTCGTTGTTCCCGGTCGGGTGAGTGTAAATCAGTTTTACTTCTTTAGACGACTTGTCGCAAGTCTTGATAAGCAAACAAATGTTTTTATTTAATTTCCAGGAGTTCATCAGGTTAGGCTGCCTGAGCAAACTGTCTGGAAAAGGTCTACAGCAGCGAATGTTTTTTCTGGTAACATCCTCTTTGTTTACTGCACTTTGTAGTAAAACGGTGATCTGAGCAGGAAAATAACATCCATTTCACCTGTGTACGAAGAGTTATGCTTTAACACTGCTGTACTTGCATTGTTTTTTATTAAACGGATTTAGTGAACTGCTTGTTTTTATTAAAGCATGTGATTCACAGGACTAGTGATTTATTTCTGGGTTAAACAACCTCCAGGCTCATTGGTATTCTTCTGGAGTAGCCATTTACATTTTTCTCTCTCTGTTTCCTTGGCGACAGTTTAATGACGTCATTTTGTACACGAGTCGAGGGATGACGCCAACCAATCAGTTCAAAGTGCACGGGCAGCTGCCGCTCCGTGGGATGACAGTGAGTGTCGCCCAGAATGATGAATGGCTGTCACCAGTTTGTCATTACTGTAAATGAGCCTCAGACAACTGAACCATAGCTGTCGGTACCACCCATAACACACACACACACACACACACACACACACACACACACACAGAGTCAGATTTCCCTTTTCTTTGTAACTCCTTCCTTCTCTCCCACTCTGTCTATTTTTGGTCCTCTGTCCCAGATTCTGATGCTCTTTCATGTTTTCTGTGTTTGTTGCAGATCAGAGAGAGCGAGGAAGAGTGGGGCGTGCCTCACGCCTTCACACTGCTCGGACAGGGGCAGTCGGTGGTGGTGGCTGCAAGGTAGGGCCCAAAACTCTTTATCTGTACAGCTAAAATCCACCTGAGAGATGCTAACAGGTAGCACAAGAGTTTAGCCTGTAAGGGCTTCCTTGCTCCACTAGTCGCTGTAACCAAGGAGTGATGATATATTTGAGCAGCTCTTCTCTAGATCCCATTTGAGTTTTAGTGACCAGGGGCCTCGTTTATAAAACTTGCACAAAACAAGTCATTTTCTATGCAATCTTTGTGATTTATGAAGAACTTGTCAGGAAAATGGGCTCAACTTTAAGCAAACTCGGACCCTGGTTTAGGTACACTTTGGAGACGGGGGGACTGGCAGTGCAACTGGTGAGAGAAGCCAAACTCGTCGATTTAAGACACATTTACAAATTTGTAGTTCCTCCCTCACACACACACACACACACACACACACACACACACACCAGTCACACCTCACCCCGTCTCTGAATGGATATGAAAATGAGGACCTGAGTGAAAAAGTACACTACATTCATTTATCCATCTTCAAATTACTTATTGGTGCTTTGATTGTCTGACACTCGCTGCAGTGAGTCGTTCCAGAAAACTAATAAAAGTTGTGTTCTCCCTCAGTTACAGGTGAATAAATGTCCATTTGGTCTGACTTCTTCTGCGAGACGTTCTTTAAGCTCCTCTGCTTCTGCTGCTACATATCTTCAGCCCTCGTTTTATGTTTTTGAGGGAGCGGCATTGCTGTTGACAAATGTAAAGGAAGTGCCGCCCTGACCACCAGCAGGCTTGCAGACTTTGTGGCTTTCGACAGACATTTAAATTATTGGGGATTCTCCGTCACCCCCTTACGTAAATCCCTTGCATCGGCGCGTCATGGCATTCATTCCTTATTTGCCACTGAGCTGACAGATCAGGCTTTAGCCAACAGGTAGGCTGATATTTGTTTGATCTGACAGACAATAAATACCATTTCCTGCCTAAAGCCCCTTTGGGTTGAATTAAATGTCTTCATTAAACGTTCCCCTTAGATCTGGAAAAGCTCAGTGATCCCTGGCACCATAATGCATCATTAAAATGATTATTGCCATCTTCCTCTTTGCTTCCTTCATATCTGACCACTTCTTTAACGTTGTTGTCCTTTTGTGTCTGCCATGATCTCTCCATCCACCACACTCGAGAGCATTCACTGCTGCAACAATGTTACACCGCTCGGAGGCAATTAAATGTTCTCCTGTGCCTCTACCTCACCCATAAGCACGTCGATTTCAGTCTCAGTAAAACTGTGTTTTCTAGACCTCTATGTCACCATGGTTACCTGTGAAATGCCACTGATCAGCACATGCACATATTGATTATCTATTTTGCGTTGATCATTTATGACAGTAACTGGGTGTGTGGGAGGCAGGATATGATCCTGAGCACATTTTTGGACGGTGTTGTTGAAAAAGCAGAAATTGCATGCGGCTGTGTGAAAGCAGTGTTTTATAGCTTTGAACATTTACATTAGTCATTTATTCTGAGCTTAAAGAGCAAGTCACCCCCTACCAGAGTATTACTCCGCTCCCACTTCCTGTTTGAAAAATGCAACAAATGCTGTTGCCTAGCAGACCGAGAGGGCGGAGCCGCTAACAAATACACACACTCTCAACATTGTGACATCATAATCTACCATCTAACATCATGGTGTACCTCTTAGCCAATAGCGATGGCAGATTTAAATTCAAATGCAGTGCAGAGTTTTTACCTGACAACGGCACAACACTGACAGTTTTAGGCAGAAAATTAAAATTTTAACTAAAATGCACTAAAGTGCTAAACTATTAACTACACGCGTCTGCAGCACGATTAAACACACATTTATATAGTTTATCAGAAAAAAATAATTGATTTGACAGTGACTTGCTCTTTAAGTAGTTTTAGTGAAGATTCTATGCAAAGTTTTATGAATGAGGCCCCAGTACTGTAGGTTAAATTATTCTAGTTTAAAACTCTGATGTGAACGGCCTTTCTTTTATTTTTCCACCTGTTTTTTTTCCTAGTTCTCTGACAGAAATGGAGAAGTGGATGGGGGACATCAAGATGGGGATAGAAATAGCCAAAACCAGCAACGGGCCTTCATCCGAGCTGCTGACCAGCAACCTGACGGACAACAGTAAGTTGCATCATAAACATAAAGAAGGCTGTGAAATATTACATTAACTTTTTTGTACTAAATAAACAAAGGAGACCAAATCTAAACCCCGCCTGGACAGAAGGTCCTGACTCGTGTTGGTTTATGTGTGATCTGACGCTGTCTGTGTTTTAGTCCTCTCCCCTCACCACCCTGATCGTTGTCTAGCAGTAACGACCTCCTGACTTTCCCAGAATGCCCGGAGGACTCCTTGGCTGAGGCAGAGTCTGAAGATGACATGGCGGCTTCGCACACCTCGCTGGAGAAGCCCACCCATCACCGTGGTAACACCATGGTGCACGTGTGCTGGCACAGGAACACCAGCGTGTCCATGGTGGACTTTAGCATAGCCGTGGAGGTACCAGCTAAAAAGCTCAGAGCTGCCCTTTTTCGTCTTGCCCCGCTGTTCTCCTTCCTCCTCTGTTTTTGAGTCTGTGCTGTTTCTGAATTCACTCTGACCTCTCACCTGGAACAGTGTCCTCCTGCTGCACCGGAGCTCAGCTTCTCATCATAATTAGCTAAACAAATGGTGGCTTGCTGCAGTTTCCATAGTACATTTCCAGTAGTTTTTAAACTGGAGGCAATTCATGAGTAATTTGCTGTAATCTTTCTATTTATGTATCTAGTATTGGGGTAATATTTAAACCCCCCACCCCAGTGAGCTACATTTATAGCAACTTAAACACTTCCTGGCCTTTTATGATTTCTAGGTATTTCAGGTATTTTGGTGCCATTTGTTTAATGTTCGATCTGTTAAATTCTCCACGTTCAGTCCCGGTGAGGTCACGGTCTCAACCAGCCAGCCTAATGTTTTAATCTAAACTCAAATCTGCTCTTCTGTGTGCATCTGTCCTGTTTTTTTCTCTCCTTCTGGTTTTTTAACTCTTCTGTCACCTTTAGAAACGGAGAAATCAAAATGTTCTTGAACGTCTCGCAGAATTTATTCTTGTGACGTAGCGTCCTTCCTCTGTAGCTGTAATGACGTCCTCTTCACAGCTTTGCCTGGATACCCTGTCTGCCTTCGTGTCAACCCCCCTCTCGGCTCTCACCACTGCATGCCCGTGTGTAACCTACTCAGTTTCTGTGTTTCTGTCCCTCCCTCCCTGTCTGTCTGTTCTTTCTCTTGTGCATTCCTCCCTGGTAGAGGAGCCTAGTCCAGTCTGTGACAATAAGGCCCCCAAGGTGGGGCCGGCGAACGGCCAGGGACCGGTTCCTCTGTCTGTTATCTGCTGGTACCGTGTTCAGAGCCTCTCCTTTAGTGAATCCTGCAGGAGTCCGGAGGTAAAGGAGTCAGGCAGACAACAGAGGCCCTGCTTTTGAACAGTTTTACACAATTAGCTCCATTTCAGACTCTTTAAAAATTCAGTATTTTTTTTAAATAGGAATTTTTTTCTGCTTCAAACCCTGAAAAACTATCAATTGTAAAAATAATATTATGAGTATTTCTGACTAAAAACTTCTTTATAATGATATCTAATGGAAAAACCAAAAGAGACTGAAACACAAAAGTGTAAAACTTGAAAACCTCCTGTCAAAACGTTCAGTGTATAGACATAATTGCATTTAAAATGGAAGTTTTTTAATTAATTTTAATTGGTTTAATAAACTAGAGATACAAAAACAAATGTACTGTAGGATTACTGAGATAAATGAATAAAATGGAAAAGTGTATGCTGCCCTGAGGCAAAATTGATGAACGTTCAAAGCTAAAATACAATAAATTTTAAAATATGTATTTTTCTGCATCAAGCCCTGGAAAACTCATTTTATTAAGAACTACCAACTCAATCATATATGATTGGAAAAACATTGATTTTAAAAGATTGAAATAGACTAAAGTGTAAAATTTGTGTCAAAACTTACATTTTATTACTATAAATGCATCTAAAATTAGGTATTTTGTTTTATTTTAAGTTTATTCATCGGTTCATTAGACAACTAGATATCCAAAACACATTTACTCTAGTTTTACTGAGATAAAGAAAGAAAAAGCTGCAGTTAAATGGATGTTTATAGCTAAAATACAACAAATAATAAAAAAAACACAACAATTTGATGCTTCATAATGTTAATTGTTGTTAATTGCTTCTCATGATCTTCTCTTATTAATAATTTCTTAAATTTTTATTGACATTTGCATTTTATTAGAAATGTATTTATATAATTCAGTGTTCTAAAGTCAAATAATAAAGGTTTATTGGACAATTAATTTTCATGTTTTATGGATAAATAAACAGATATTTGTGCATCTTGGATTTTATAACATGTTCTGTGTGTTTTAGAAATTCAAACTTATGTTTTTAATCCTAGAATCAGTTGTCGGGAAATTTGCTGAGGAAGTTCAAGAACAGCAACGGCTGGCAGAAGCTCTGGGTGGTCTTCACCAACTTCAGTCTGTTTTTCTACAAGTCTCACCAGGTGATGAGCAAACACACGCCCTGCTGTTAGAGCAGCGCGTCCCCCACTGTCTCCCACTGTCCTCATGCTGTCCTCCCTCCTCCCAACATCACACCTCGGCGTGGAATATCAAATCTGTTTGTCGTGTCAGACACTTTCCCCACACAGCTTTTCATCTAGCTCTCTGCTGCAGTCAGAGACTACATCTGGACTTAAATGTCCTCTAAGTGTTGTTATTTGAGAATAATGAGCAGGTTAAAGGTTAAAGAGTGAAGTCTGAAGACTCACGTGTATGGGGCGCCATTTGTAAAGTTAAACACTTCAAAATAAACGGGTTTATTTTGCCAGATTTTTATAAAAAATGTTAAATATAAACATTTAAAATCTAAATTTCAATAGAAATCTGAAGGTTTTGAAAGGAAAAGCAAACTTAAGACTGGTGTGAACCATTAAAATCATTTCAAAATAAAAGCAGGACTAAATTATACCTCTTAAATATAACTGCTGTGATTTTTACTACAAGTACAAAAATGCTGTATTGTACGAGTAGATTTGTAGGATTACTTTGGTTTTATTCATTTAAGAAGGGCATGTATGGGGGCACCATTTGTAAAGTTATACACTCAAAAATGAATGGTTTTATTTTTCAGATTTTAAATCATAATAGTAATATTATTATTATATTAAAATAATAAATAATAATATAAAATGTAAACAATTGAAATAAAATATTAATAGAAATGTGAAGGTTTAAATAAAGCAAACTTAGACTGCCGTGAAACATTTTAATAATTTCAAAATAAGAGCAAGATACAAAATTAGATGTCTATAATGTGACCTTGATGTATTTATAGTACAAGTAAAAAATGCTGCATTGTATGAGCATATTTGTAAGAATATTTAGGTTTTATTAGTTTAAGAAACCGTTCCTCTCCAGTTGCTCTGTATGGGGTGCCATTGTAAAGTTATACACTCTGAAATGAAATGAATGATTTTATTTAGTCAGATTTCAAATAATAAATTGAATTATAAACATTTATAGAGGAATCTTAAATAGAAATGTGGAAGTTTTTAATAAAAATTCATTTAAACTGCTGTGGACCAAAATTATCCTTTCAAAATAAAAGCAGGGCAAAAATTAGATGTTTCAGAACTTTAGTGTGATTTATAGTACAAGTACAAAAATCCTGTATTGTATGTCCAGATTAGGTTTTATCAATTTAAAAAAGCGTTCCCTTCCAATTGTTCACATTAAAGTTTGTGTTTCCTGAGTTTTTATGGAAGACAAACTCCGAGCTGTCTGCAAAAACATGGTGCCCGACGTTAAATTCCTTTTCCTAATCTTCCCTCAGGATGATTATCCATTGGCCAGCCTTCCTCTGCTGGGCTACTCCGTCACTGTCCCCTCAGACAATGAAAACATCCACAAAGACTACGTCTTCAAGCTGCATTTCAAGTCTCACGTTTATTATTTCAGATCAGAGAGTGAATACGCCTTTGAGAGGTACGGTCGCCACATCGACTTTTTCTTTAGCATCTCTGTGGTTTTGAATCATCCTGATTAAATGAAAAACCTTCTCTTCCTGCAGGTGGATGGAGGTAATCCGCAGCGCGACGGCGCCCTCGAGTCTCTCTCAAGTCCTGAACAGCAAAGATCCTCACTGATCTGGCTCACCTTGTTTTACTCAACACCCCCCCCCCCCCCCCCCCCCCCCCCCAATCGACCTCCTCATGGGTGGAATCCGCCGGTCCTGATCCTCTGCTCCTGGACTCTTTCTTTTCATTACAACACAGATCTGGGACATTTCTACACATTTCCATGCACAATTTGGTGCTTTAAAAAAAAAATTAAACACTTTAATGGTGACACGTCCGCTGGTCTAGACTGCTTCAGAGACTCGCATTTTTACTCCCGAAACTCTGAAATCCTATTTTTACGGATGTCATTTTCTACTGTTTTCTAATGGTCTGGACCGCCTCTATTTTTTATTTTTATTTTTTGTCTGGTTTTACATTTTGTCACCAGCTGTTTTTATCAGAATATATTTAATCTTTTCTTTATCTTTTTTTTTTTTTTTAGATTTTTAAAACCTCACAACATTGTCAAACGTTTTATTTGTTGACTTAATTTTTACGCGAAAGCAGCTGTTTTTGAAAACGTCCAGCCACTTTGGTGCCAAATCAAGTTTATAGGAACTTTTTAATGTCATTTTTGTTACGGTGGGACGTAGGAGGATCCTCTGCGTCCAGCTGGGTTAAACAGGCCACCCTTTAACTCTAACACACCTGCATCTGCACAATGTGACCTTGTAAAAACAAAAATATTAATGAGAAAAAAGTGAAATATTTTACTACCAAGGGTAGCTGCCATCGTCACTGATGCTGTCTTTAAAAAGTAAATCTATTTGTGCATACTTTAATTTTTTTTACTCAAAAGTTCAGCTGTGTGAGAAATGATGAAGGAATGCTTCATTGAAAGCTTTAAAGATTGTGAGAATTCAAACAGAAATGTGCTGAGCTACGCTGCCACTTGTCTTTTTATGGGTTTAAATGAACGGAAACATGCATTTGACACAGTTTTGCAGTGAAGCATTATGGGGTGAAAAACTCAGCTCTGCTTGGGGTTGAAGTGTTTTTTGCTTTTTTTCAATGAAAGAAAGCTTTTTGGAATTGAAAGCAATAAAAATGTAATTTAAACTGATTCTGTGCTTTTTCTTTGTTTGTTCAAAGATTGTGTTTCTGTGTGAGACCTGCAGGTGGCGGTATTGATTTAAAAAAAGCAGCTTGCATCAAAAAGTTTAGGAAATCTAAATGAACTGTCATGTTTCTAGTTGATGTTAACTGGACATTTTACTTCCCATCTAAGGATCTTCCTCAGCTCAAACAGAAAAGGAGAAAAACTCCCAAGACTTTAAACTGCAGCTTTTTAGTTTAAAGATAAAAGTAAATGAGAAAGGCCTTTAGGCATTTGGAGGCAACTGCATGAGTATTTCAAAAGTTAAAGTCTTGCTTTTCACAATCAGATGTACCATTACTGTATCATAATCAACTTGATTTAAGCCATATTACATTAGCAAAAGCAGCAGAAAAATGGCAGATTATTATATCAGAAGATCTGATTGGATTGATGCAGAAACGATTTAATACAATGAAGCAAAAAATTTCATTTTTTTCCAGACAAACCTTTACGAAATAATCACTGCTATTTGTAAGATTTACTAAGCTAAATAGGACATAAACAATGTTATATACTTTGATGTGAACATTTGAGTTTATGGCAAATGGTATTTTTTAATGCAAATAACATTAAAACCATATAGATCCATTTAATTTGTAATCTTATTCTAATGTCCTTTATAACGGTGAGGAACAAAAGTATTTATACAGCTGGCAATTGGCAAGAATCCTGGGTCTCAAAGACGTGTTACTCTGCCTTTAAAAAGTCCACCTCTACTCCACCCACTAATCTAAATTAGTAGCACCTGTCTGAGCTTGTTAAGGACACCTGTCCACCCCACAGTCAGACTTCCTCTACTACCACGGGCAAGACCAAAGACCTGTCTAAAGACACCCGAGACTAAATTGTGGACTTCTACAAGGCTAGAAATGACTTTGGGGCAATGGCCAAGCAGCTCGGTGCAAATAGATCAACTGCTGGAGCAAAATGGAAGAGGCTTAAGATGACTGTCGGTCTGCTTCAAACGTGGGCTTCATGCAAGATCTTATCACTGAGGAATAGTTACCCTCCCAAGGTCAGACTGAGATGACCCAAGCGTCAATGTGGCTTTAGTCCTTTCCAATGCAAAAACTGTTTTTTTCTTCTAATGTTGTTCTTAATACTCCTTTAATTTAGAGAAATAAAAGATAGATTGGCTTTCAGAACATTAATTTACTGGGTAACGACACAGTAAAAAGAACAAACAGCAGAAAAGAATAAAGGGTAGCTCTGTTCTCATTACATTATCCCAAGTAAGTCTAAGTAACCAAAAGTAAAGTTCAGTTGTTAATGCGGCGACCATTTAAGTATCCTGAAGGGCCTCTGAAATTAGCTTTGTGTCCACAATGTCTTCCATCTGACTGCTATCACTTTAACTTTAGGACAAACTAGCAGGGTCCCAAAACAAAACCCATTTACAGTCACAGACAAAAAATTATGTTTGTAATTAGAAAACATTGACTGGTGTTTTCATGTCCTCCGGCATCGAGGGTGTCAAGTTCTGGCAGAAGTGTCCCAAGAGACCTGAGGGGAGGTGTGAGTGTTCGGTGACCGTGTTAGGAGGGAGATCTGGCCGTCTAGTTGGAGTCTAGGGTGGTAGGTTGCTTTGCTCAGTGTTAAACGGGGGAGCCTGCTCATCAGCACCCCAGCAGAAAGGGCCGAACTCTAACAGCCGGTGATGGTTGTACTCTTTGTGCAGCAGTACCGGGGCCAGAGTGAATAGGGTGTGTATGGGAAGCATGATTGGGTGTCTGGGGTGCATTTTTGTAAGTCTTAGGTTGTATGTGTATGTGTGAGCATGAGGGAGGGAGTGTGTAACTCGGTCTGTGTATGACTGTATATGTCAGGTGAGGCCTTTGACTCCTTCCCTCTCCTGGGACTTCTTTTGATGCTGTACATCTTCGCCTCCCCTCCCCCTGCCACACCTGGTGTGGAGTATGGTGCCTTGGTCTGCCTGAGTGTTGGCAGCTCCCAGGTCAAGGGGTTTGAGATTTTTGGCATCTGCCCAGTTAATCCCGGTAGCTGCCTGGTGGGATCTGAGTCTACTAGTACTACTACTAAATTTTATTTATATAGCACCTTCACATGGCCCAAGGACCAAACAAAGCGCTGCACAACAGACATGAACATAAAGAAATTAAAACATGTAAAACCATTTAAAAACCAACAAAAACATGTAGATAAAATCTAGGTGGGGGAGCAAAAAGTGCAAAGCCACCCATTAACGAGACTCCTCTTGAGTAAAAGCCAAAGAATAAAAGTGTGTTTTCAGACGGCTCTTAAAATTGCTGAGCGTGGTTGCCTGTTTGACACTTGTAGGTAGCTCATTCCAGAGCCTCGGCCCCAGTACCGAGAAAGCATGACCCCATCGAGATTTTGGTCTGTGCTTGGGAACGACAAGCAGTCCTTGCTGTGCTGACTGAAGGTTCCTTGAGGAAACATAAGGATGGATCAGATCTGATAGATATCGTGGAGCCAACTCATTTAAACATTTAATAACAAACACCAGGGGCCTCATTTATCACGCTTGCTTATGCACAAAACAGGGTCGGAAAACTGCGTAAGCAACTTTCCACGCACACTTTGGGATTTGTGAAAGAAAACTTAGCAGGAAAATTTGCACAACTTTAAGTTGAATAAGGACCTGGCTTACGCACATTTTGGACATAGAGAGCACTTGCAGTGCTGCTGCTGAGAAGGATAAAATGATGAAATCCTGTAGCATTATTATTTGTACCGCTTCGTTTTCACACAGAACAAGACCCCCCACACGCACACACACGTGTGCGCACACACTCGCGCGCGCACAGACACACACAGCCTGAAGCGCAGAATACGGAATGCAGAATATCAGCAAGGGGACAGATTGAGACAGAATGTCATGCGTCTATGACAGTGTGTGTGTCCTGTCACTGTGACCCGGTTGATCATGTGCTCTGGTTACTTGGACAAGGGAGATTGTCATTTGGGTAACTGTCTAGCATGTGTGACTTTCACCCGGGAGTCTGGGGATCGAATCTTGATTGGATTTGATTGATTTTTTTATATCCGCCAAAGATCTCTCTGAAGAATTCACAACATTGACGGCTTCAGCAACGCTGTGCCACTCCATGGATTTTCTCTTATTTGTTTTGCAAAAGCACTTCCCTTAATTTCTCCACCTCACCCACAAGTACCTCAATTTCTTCTTCTGTGAAACAGCGCTTCCTTGATCTGCCTTGATCTACGGTCACCATCGTCATTGGTGGAGCGCTACAACAGCTGGCTTATGTGTATGCATGAGATCCACAAGGCACTTTGCATTGACTATTTATGGCAGTAAGTGGGCGTGGTGAGGGCGGGATGTGACTAAAAAGCAGCTGAGAACCTTTCTAGATAGTTTCTGATTCATGACGCGGGGATTGCGTGCAGCTGTGCGTACTCCATGTTTGATAGATCACAAACCTACTTGGCGAAAGTACATTTTTTTGCTTAAGTGCGGTTTTGGAAGGATTCTACGCAATGTTTGATAAATGAGACCCCAGAACTTTAAACAAAATTCTAAAGGAGACTGGAAGCCAGTGTAGGGATACCAAAACAGGCGTGATGTGTTCAGATCTCCTGGTACCAGTCAGTAACCTGGCTGCCGCATTTTGGACCTTCTGTAGTTTCGCTATGGAGGCCTGCTTGATGCCTGCATAAAGCAAGTTACCAGTATGTTTATGTTTATGTTTATTTATTTGGCAGACACTTTTATCCAAAGCGACTTACAATTTATTTTATTCATTTGACCTTCCATGTCTCCAGAATCAAGCCTGTCATTTCCTCCGGCCTCATGCCCTCCTCCGGACCCCCTCCGCTTGCCCAGTTTGTGGCTGGTGGGCCGGTTTGGACTGTCCGGCGGATCCTACAATCTGGGCGCCGGGGCAGAGGGCTTCAGTACCTGGTGGATTGGGAGGGATTCGGCCCCGAGGAGCATTCCTGGGTACCCGCCAGGGGCATCCTCGATGGGTCGCTCATCCGCGCTTTCCACTGGACCCTTTCTGGTTGGCCGGGTGGCCCGGCAGGTGCCGGTCCTTCAGGGAGAGGCACTGTCATGACTCCCAGGCTGCCACCCTCCTCTGCCTCAGCTGCCTCCTCAATCAAGCCCTCAGCCACTTACTTATCATCACCTGCACCCTGTCATCAACTCATGTCACACACTTGCCTCCTCTGCTATAGAACACCCAGCCTGCTCTCCAACCAGTGCCAGATTATTGAACACCACAGCTAGTAAATTCTCCAGCCTTCCATCCATCGTCTGTCTCATGTATCTCGACCTGATTCTAACTCCTGGATTCTCGCCTTGCCTTGCCCCTGCTTTGGACCCCTGCCTCGTTCCCTATCACGCTATTGGATTTCCCAGATTATCGACATTGGATCTGTCCCCTGACTTCGAGCTCTCACCTGCCTCCTTGGATCTCTCGCCATCATCTCTGGTTCTGACCCACGCTTCCACCTCACTACAACCAAGCCATCTCTCTCTGCAGTGTTGGTGACTAACTCCTGAACTGTTTTAATAAATATTTTAAACGTCTTACTGGAGAATTTGCAGGGGTCAGCACAATCTCGAGTGTCAAGATGGCGCCAGTGTTGCCGGTTTGCGGTCTGTCAGCTCCTCTACTTTTTGTATTTTTGTTGTTTTTAGCCTATGTGTTACGACCCGCTCACCCGAGATTGGTGTATGATCGTCATATGCTATTTAAAATAGGTTTTTCGGTTGGATTTTTAGCGTCTGAAGCTGTTGAGCACCGGAAAACTTCCTCTCCCCTCTACCTGGATGGTCTTTTGGCGTGCTGGGAAACACCACTGTTCATGCACTCTGCTAGGAGGAAACGTAGGAGGAGAGGCTGTCGGGGTGGACGGCTCGTCAAGCTGAAAGCATTGAAGCTTGCCTTTTCTGGTGGTTTTCAAATGGTCTTGTGTTCATCCACTCAGTTGCTGGCACCGTGGCGTGTGGTGGATCC